CTGAAAGATGCTTTAGAGTCCAATTCTATTTTTAAAAATCTTCCTTAAAAAAAAAACAGGCTGAAACACTTTTGTCTTAGTCAGATTTGTGCTGCAAAAGCAAAAGAAAAAATACCAGAAATGAATACATGTATTTAAAAAAAGAGAGAGATTGATTGCTTCCAGGTAAAGTCCTAGGTTGATGAACCCACATCTCCAGAAGGTCTCTTTGTTGCACATCTTATGGTAGAAGGTAGAAGGGAAAAACAAGTATATAAAAAAAGGAAAATGGGGGCTGGGAAGGTGGCTCAGTGGTAGAGTGCTTGCCTTGCATGCCTGAGGCCCTGGGTTCGATTCCTCAGCATCACATAAGCAAAAAGAAAAAAGCTGGAAGTGGCGCTGTGGCTCAAGTGGTATAGCGCTAGCCTAGAGCTGAGGAGCTGAGGGACAGCGCCCAGGCCCAGAGTTCAGGCCCCATGTCTGGACCCCTCCCCCAAAAGAAAGAAAATGGCCAGGCCTCTCCTTCATTAGATACCTCCTTCATCCTGGGCATATAATATTGGGCACTGAATTGGCAACACATGAATTTTGTAGGACCTATTCAAACCTCAGCAACTACAAACAAATAACCTTGGTAGGAAGCCTCATTCCTGGTAGGAAGGCCTGAATCTCTCTATAGTAAACACGGAGTGGCTTAGCTCTGTACAACAGAAGCCCATCTAAAGCACACACTTTCCAGCCTTTATCGGGGACATCTTTGTAATCCCATGGCTTGGGAAAAAGTGGGGGCATTATAAATCTTGGTTTCTTCATCTATAAAACAGGAAGGATAGTTCTTCTGTCTCCCAGTGCATGAGTCACTGGATGAGTGGAGCACAGAGCTATAAGAAACTATCAGACCAGATGTGCAACCTTTGTCACTGATTGAACTGATAGATGCACATACCACCCTACAGGAAAAGAAATGAACCCAAGAATTAATGGAAAAGTGTTCTGACTCATGGAGCAAGAAGGAAACATAAATGCTACTCTCCCCACTACTGACAACTGTCAAGGCCATTGCTAGGCAACAGAAAGCAGCTGGTCTCAGTCACTGCATTGCTCACAGCACCTGATAGCCTGGCACAAGGTGCACACATGACAAAAAGTGATGAGTAAATGACACACAGCAGCTCTCCCTCCATTCCAAGCTATCACTTCCTGCAGTTTCAGCTACCAGCAGTCAGCCACAGTCCAAAAAACATTGAATTGAAAATTACAGAAATAAAGTGATTTATAAGACTCAAATTATGCACCATTCTAAGTGGCATGATGAAACTCAAATCTGTCCTGTTCTACATACCCATGACATGAATCAGCCCTTGTCTGGAATATCCACACTGTATATGCTACCCTCCCACTAATGACTTAGTGGCTGGGGAAATGCAGACCTACTGTTGGGTACCATAGCACTTGTGCATATATAACTCCATTCTTCTTCACTGTACCATTGGAGCAAAGGAGTAGCAGTGCTGGCAATGTATACTGTTCCATTTTATTAGTTATTCTGTAAAGTTTCTTTACCGTGCCTAATTTTAAATTAAACTTTATCATGTCTACATGTATATGGGGAGAGGAGGAAACATGGTGAATGTAGAGTTCAGTACACACAGAGTTTAGCATGTACTGGCAGGGAGGGATGTCTTAGAATGCATCTCCCACAGGGGAAACTGGGAGAAAATTAGGGAGAGGGTAACACTGTTCAACAAGAAATATAATCATCACCTTGCTTATGTAACTGTAACCCCTTGCTCATCATCCTTACAATAAAAAAGAACGTATCTCCCACAGATAAGGAGGAACAAATCAAAGGGAAAAATATTACCTAATCATCTGCACACAGAGATACATATGCGACACACACCATATGCACTCACCAAGGCACTGTCTGGTAATTTGCAGTATAGTAAGGATGGGGCTTTTTTTTCTTCATTGGTGATGAGTAAATCTGCCTTGTTGTTGTTGTTGTTATTATTCTATGTATTTTATTATAAAGGAGGTCACTACCAGAATTCTATTTTAGCTAAATAAAATACATAGTATAACCCATCATGAGATTAGTTTGTTCGATACTTTGTACATAAGTCTATATTCACAAACTTAAGGAACATTAAATCTTTTGTCAGACTGACCAGATAGATTACCCTATGACCTGATCATTTCTTTGACCTTGGCTCTTTGGGCAAATAAAAGTGCTGCTTTAGAGTAAAGAGTCTAGATTCTTCAGTATCCACTGAAGTATGCTAAAAATATAATCTCTCCAAATTCTGGACCCAAGCAGAAATTGCAGATCCTTCTAGCACCAACACCCTATGACTTTGAGTAATCAGGCTGAATGAACAAAAACAAAACCACTTCCCTACAAATGATTGATTTCTGAATTCAATTCCTTGGAGGAGTCTGCACAGAGCAAAAGTCACTCACACTTGAAGGAAAGATTGCTTAATGGTACACAACAGAATGTACATGCTGTTAACAGGCAAGGGTTAAAGGTTGAGATACCAGCTAGGAAAGAATATGAGAATAGGCAGGTACTTCATCCATGGGACCCAGAAGATTTTAGTCTAGCAAAATCACATCATTATAGCTGGGCTTTAAGCAAGTTTATCTTACAAAACCATTTGAAATTGACAAAAACAGGAAGTCTGGCAAAGAGCAGCTTACAAAGGGCAGAAAAGTCTGGTAGTGCTGTTGAATGTTTACATAGAACCTCCTATGACCAGTAAATGGGGCTGTGTACACTATCAGAGAAGCCCACTTCAATAAGGACTCAAAGATGTTCACCAGTTGGCTATTAATGCATATTCCCCAAGAAATATGGTCCAAATAAAGGAATAATATCTAATATATCTTATTGAAGTAAGACAATTATATGGTACAGAGCTATACCAAGATAGTAGCAGTGCTAATGGCATTATTTTCTGTATATTAAAAGTTTCTTAAAAACATAAGCAGATAGGCACTGGTGTGTCATGTCTGTAATCCTAGCTAGTTGGGATGTTGAGACCTGGAAGATCTCTGTTCAAAGCCAACCCTGGTAGAAATGACCTTGAGATTCTATTTCTGATTAACCAGTAAAATGCCAAACTGTGTGCCTCAAGTAGTAGAGCACCAGCCATGAACAAATGAGTTGAGCCTGAGCAAGAGAATGAGAGCAATCAGGCACTGAGTTCAGTCCCCATAAACGGGATGTGGGGAAATAAAACAAAACCAACCAACAAAAAACAGTAAGCAAGCTTGGCACTGGTGGCATACGCCTGTAATCCTAATTATTTACGGTCTGAAATCTGAACATTGTAGTTCAACTCCAGCCCAGGCAGAAAGTTCTTTCCAATTAACTAGTCATAAATTGGAACTGGAGTTGTGGCTCAAAGTGGAGGAGCACAAGCCTTGAGCAAAAGAGTTCAGGGACAACACCTGGACCCTGAGTTCAAGCCCCATGACCCACAAAATAAATAAATACATAAGTTAACAGTAGAATAAATGTCTATGTTTCTATTTCTAACTTCTTTTCAATAATATATGGGAAGCCTCAAAAAAGAAATCGCACCAGCACTATTTCAGGTGTCCAGTTAAATGAGAGCAACAAAAGGCGAAAAAATGCATCAGCAATTCTCACTATGTTGAGAATGAAATATACAACTTGTGGAGAGGGAGGATGGGAGGGGAAAATGAAGAAAGTGAGGGAAAGGGTGATACTGTTCAAAAAACAGTATATACATTATCTGACCTATATAACTGTGACCTCTGTATTTATCATCTTCTTTAAAACAACAATTTTCAAAAAGTCAGGAAAAAAAAGAGTACTCAGGGAACATAAGAAAGGGATTAACCAGAGGATACAACAAGGGTGGTCCAGAGAGGCCCTCACAGCTGCTTGAGTAGGGGTTTGAAGAATGATTCTGCGTGGACAGGGGATGTAGCAAAGCAGTCTTGTGCTTGCCTAGAATGTGGAAGCCCTTGGGTTCAATCCCAGCACTGCAAAGAAAGATTTTAAAAGAACGAGGAAGAGGAGGAGGAAGAGAAAGAGGAAGAATGAAATGGGAATGAGGAAGAGGAGGAGGAGAAGGAGGAGGTACAAGGGAGGAAGAATGACTTGCAGTATCCAGTCCAAGTCATAGAGAGGGCAGTGGTGCTATTTATAGGAAGTCAGGAGGGGAAGCGGTCTGTATTAGAAAATGAATTCCATGTTCAGTGCAAAGGACTTTGTGTTCTTTTTTTTTCTATTTGGCTTTCCATTAGCTAAAGTGAAAGCAGTGACAACACTGCCCTTGTATGACACACAGGACAATGACGATCCTTTGTTGTGCACAGTAAAAAGTAAATCATCAAGAAAGCACCCATGCATGACATCACACATTTCTTGAAAAGTCCCCTACAAGGTTGGCTCAGACAGCAGGTATTAAATATATCAAGATTCTCTACCAGGGGAGTCCCACAACAGAGGAAGAAGATGGGCAGCTAATGCTATGAGAGAGAGAACTTGGAGTAGGTGCTTTCAGTCTATGTTCCCCATTCTGATGACCCAGTATACACTTCCTCATTCCCCATCACCCCTCCCTGTAGCACAGAGTACCACAACTAAATGGAAATTTGGAGATCACTGCATTGCATCTATCCTTGTTACAGACATAGGAGTGGTAGAAAGACCCACAGCGGGAAGAGCACATAAGGAGTCAGGGACAGCCCTAGGCCTACACTGGGGTCCCCTAAGGCTTCTTCTCAGGATCTCAGAGCATCTCAAGACTCATGCTTTCTTTCTGTATATTCCAGAGCAAGGTGCCTTGGCCTGTAGCCCTGTGATAAACACACAGGCCAGGAACCTTGCCTGTGAATTGCTGGGCAAATAGGGGGAAGGACTGGAAGAAGGAGTACATTCTCACAGCATGTCTAAAGAGATTTCCAGCTTCAGGTGTGAGCCACTGGCATTCGAGCTTACTTGAAGAGAGCTATCTTCTCTCTTACCACAGGAAACACCATACCTTGATCAGAATGCTTCTTCTTCCCATGAGGGATTCTATGAATGCACAGAATATATCCATCCTTTGTCTCCACGAAATGCTCCTCACCAGGGTATCCCCAGTAACTTATTATTTGCACCTGGGAGGAGAAAAGGCAACACACATTCTATGGACAGAATCTGGTTCAATTTCCCACATGAGCAGGAGAAAACAGCACATAATAACATTCTCCATGTCGTATTTAGGAAATGAACTATTACTGACCTTTGTATGTCTCTTCAGTGTGGCCAACAACCCATCATAAAACTAAATCTTACATACTTACAGGAATATTCTAGTATCTTCTGTACCAAGTGTTATCTAATATTGTTATAGTATTTGGATTTGGACCTCAATTCTATACTGGCTACCAGACTAAAAGAAATTTCTTTCCTTTCTAACTATGCTAGCTAACACTTGTTTTCAAAGTTCTATCCTAGAAAAATAAAAAAATAAAAAAAATTCCATTTTAATCAACAGACTAAAAATAATTACACTAGACTGTCCAGGTGCAGTTGAAGACACACACACACACACATACACACACACACACACACACACACACACACACTCTAAAACTTAACCTTAAGAAATCATTACCAGACTATTAATTTTTCCAAGTCTCTAAGATGATTTTTCAGCTGATTCTTAGTATTTGCTTTAATAATCTGTATTTTTATATTTCACACCTAAATATATTCTCAAGCTTTGATTATTTACTTAAGAGAAATAACTTTGAAATGCTTTAATGATTAAGGTGCTATTTTTGCTTATTCCTTCTAATTTTTTTTTCAGATACTTTGACTTTTGCTAGGAAGCATGGTCCTAGACATTCTTTCATTTATTTATTTGGTTTTTTTTTTACTTTTACTCTAAAGGTGATGTACAGAGGGGTTACAAGACAAAAGGTAGAGGAATCAAAAACAGAGACAAAAAATAGCAAAAAAAAAACCCTCCTGTTTCCATTTCTTGGAGTTCATTTCAATAAATATCATTTTATATAATCATATGCACAAAGATATTGAGCATTTGTGATCATCTCCTACGAATATCCTCCTTTGGTCTTGCTGTGTGAATGTTTGAGAGTCCTGTTGAATTGTATTATCCAAGTATAATATTTTTGTCCTTTACTGTCCATTGTGTTTACCTGTAGATTTGTATGCACATTCTACAAATGAGGGAAACATACAACCTATGTTTTTTGAGTCTGGCTTACTTCACGTAATTTTTTTTCCTAAATCTTACCATCTCCATACAAAGAGTGCAATACCATTCTTTCTGAGAAAGTATAGAATTTCATTGTGCATGTATATTGATAGATACATAGACCACACTTTCTTGATCCATTCATCCACTAAGGGCAACTAAGATGATCTGAAACTTTAACAAAATGGCAGGGCACAAAATTAAACCATAAAAATCAGTAGCTTTTCTGTATACCAACAATGAGAAGATCACAACTGAAATCAGGAAAGAAATCCCATTTGTACTAGCCTCAAAAAATAAAATAGAGTACCTAGGACCTCTATTATGAAAACTTTAAAACTCTGAAAAAATAAATTAAAGCAGATTAAGGAACTGGAAAACCCTTCCATGCTCCTAGACAGAAAAATTAATATTGTGGAAATGGCAATACCGCCCAAAGCTATCTACAAATTCAATACAACACTCATCAAAATCCCAAAAACATTCTTCAATGCTATAGAGAAAGCAATCCAAAAATTCATATGGAATAATAAAAAAAGAACCTCAAATAGTAAAAACAATCCTTAGCAGGAAGAACAGTGTTGGAAGAATATCAATACTAAATTTCAAACTCTATTACAAAGCCACAGTAATAAAAACAAGAATAGGCCCGAGACCGGGCTGGGAAGGTAGCTCAGTGGTAGAGCGCTTGCCTTGCATGCATGAGGCCCTGGGTTCAATTCCTCAGCACCACATAAGCAAAAAAAAAAAAAGAAAAAAACCGGAAGTGGCACTGTGGCTCAAGTGGTAGAGCACTAGCCTTGAGCTGAAGAGCTGAGGGACAGAGCCCAGGCCCCATGACCGGACCCAAAACAAAACAAAAAAAAAGAATAGGCCCAAGAACCAATAGAATGAAGATCTGAAGTGAACCCACAGTCCTGTAGCTATCTAATATGTGATAAGGGAGCCAAAAACATAGAATGGAAGACAGCCTCTTCAACAAATGGTGGTAGCAGAATTGTCTAGACAGTCGTAATAACAATCTTTGTTGAGTGTATTTTAAAACCAAGGCTTAGTAATAATGCCCTGAAAGAGTTGTGACACCCATTCTCCCTGTTCTTTCAACAAATTCTATGAGACTCAAAAGTTAATTAATAAAAATTACTATCTTAAAAAGTGCATAGTTTTCAACAATCACATGGCGTTTATTCATTATACATGACACAGTCCAGAATCTAAGATTCAGAGAAAGTGAGAAACAATGAGCTCTTATAAAGAGATGACAGTTGTGGCTGCATGCAGTCATTTAACTGTTAATTAAGGGAACAACATTTGCCATTCTTGCATTTTAAAAGCACATGACAGAGAAACTTACCACAGTCATGTTTGCCTCAGGATTCACAGCTGACACCTTCCCTCTGCTCCCCTGGGAGTGCAGGATCCCAAGGACCAAACAGACCAAGAACTCCAAGAAGTACATTTTCATCTAAAGAAAGTAATCGATTATTATTTTTCCTGAATTTCACTACGCAAAAAATGTGCAAGCCACTTACTGATTTCACAAAGAATTTAGGGAGAGCAGAATTCTGTGAAGGCCAGAAATGAAATAAATGACTACAGTTACATCTCAATTTAAAAAAAGAGAGAGAGGCTGGGAAGGTGGCTCAGTGGTAGAGTGCTTGTCTTGCATGCATGAAGCCCTGGGTTTGATTCCTTAGCACCACATAAGCAAAAAAAGCCGGAAGTGGCGCTGTGGCTGAAGTGGTAGAGCACTAGCCTTGAGCTGAAGAGCTGAGGGAGCCCTACGACCGACCAAAAAAAAAAAGCAACATTCATTTACTAAAAACCTCCTGTCCAGTTAACATGTGAGCTTTGGAGCCCAGCACATCCACTTAACAACTCAACACAAACTTAAAGGGTTCCTAGAGAAATAACAGAGGGCAGGACTTATACTTAGACAGGGTGAGCAAAGGGAAGAGGCAAAAAGTGCCAGAGCTGGCTAATTTCTCACTTTTCCCCTTTCATGTGGAATTTAAACATTTTCATGTTCTTTCAGGCACTATGAGCCCTTAACTCCCACTAGCTACTCACTTCTGTTCTTGACCAAACCATATGTCAAGATTCAAGTTTGTCACTGAGTGGGGGGAGAGGGAAGTGAAAGAAAAAAGCCTGCAAGAGAAACAGGGGTAAAGAAGTCAATCATCCTCTCTTTTCTAGAACTCCCCAATTACTAGCTGAGGACATTCTAGTTTCTGACAGGTTTAGCTCAGAATTATAGTGTAGCAAAGACCCGAGGACACTGAAAATGAAGTGATACAACACTCCTCAGGACATGCAAATAGGGGAGAAATGCTGGGCCTACAGCCCAGGCTCCCTACATGTTAATATATATATATATATATATATATATGTACATATGTACATATATGTATATACATATGTATATATGTGTGTGTATATATATTCACTTAAAAAGATGTGTGTGCATATGCCAGTACAAAGACTTACACAGAAATGGTTACAGTAGGTTTGCATGTAATAGAACAAACTTTGTAAAATTCTAGTGTTCCAAATGAGTAATTAGATAAACAATTTATGGATAAACAAATTCATCAATAAAAAGCAATGAATGCACATGGACAGATCTTAAAATCATTATACTACATTAAAGAAGCCAGACCAGAGAGAGATAGAGACAGAGACAGAGACAGAGAGAAAGAGAGAGAGAGAGAGAGAGAGAGAGAGAGAGAGAGAAACTGATGCAGACACTGAACAGATAGAAAGAATCAACATTGTTTGATCTCATTCATACCAAGCTTTGGGAAGTACACCTAATCTATACTGACAGAAAATAGATTATTGCCAGGGGAAACAAGGGGTAGGAGGAAAGGCTTACCAAAGGATACACACAAGAAATATCTGGGGGATGACATACAGGTATACAATAATGTACAACTGTATACATATATCAAAAGTTCTACATTATGCCATCTATAGTATATTAATAATACCTCAACACTGCTGTTCAAAAAATAAGCAGGGCACTAGTGGCTCACACCTGTAATCCTAGCTACTCAGGAGGCTGAGATCTGAGGATTGTGGTTTGAAGCTAGCCAGGCAGGAAAGTCAGTGAGACTCTGACCTCCAATAAACTACTGAGAAAACGCAGAAGGTGGTGCTCTGGCTCAAGTGGTAGAGTGCTAACCTTGAGCACAGAGGCTCAGGGACAGTGCCAAGGCCCTGAATTCAAGTCCCAGGACCGGCCAAAAACAAAAAAAGAACACTATGCTTAAAGTAAGTATTCTACATGTGTTAAGAAGCTGATTCTCAAATTAAAAAGGCAATCAATTCCTATCTTCTGACACAATCCACACTAGAGTTATTTTTCCAGGCAATAATGAACTTCAAAAAGAAAGGAAGTCCCATTATCTGAGTCTGTATTGATCAAGCAAGTTTAGTTCTTTTAATTCTGAATACATCTTTATTGTTTATTTCTAGTGCTGGCAATCAAACCAAAGGCCTTGTGGATATTAGGTAAATGTTCTACCACTGCATTACATATTCACCCAAGAAAGGGGTGTACAGGTCTGGGTTAGTTTTTATCCCAACTTCAACATCCCCGAAGTCTTTATGACTAGTGAAAAAAAAATACACTGAAAAGGAAAAAAAAATATTTATTTCCACAGTTCATCCTACTGGAATGAATATGTCTTCCAGTTACTTTTCCTATCTCCACAACCCTTTGCTTCTCAACATACTCCACAAGTTGTTCTCCTAGAAGAGATTGTGTGAAAAATAAAAACACTAGAGCAGGACACAAGTGGATCATGTCTGTAGGCCTAGCTACGTAAGAGGCTAAGATAGGGGGAAGGTGGTTTAAAGCCAGTCTGGGTAGCAAAGTCCATAGGACACTTATCTCCAATTAACTACCTAAGATCTGGAAGTTGAGCTGTGGATCAAGAAGTAGAGTTCTAGCCTAGAGAAGAAAAAAAAGAAAGCTAAAGGACAAAAATCTCTACATTCTATGGGCTTTGACTATACAGTTAGAACTCATAAACTTTATAGACCACGACAATTTGCCCCATGAAGGTTAGAATGTATTTGTGACTTTAAGCATCCCTATCCCACGATACTGTGAAATTTGTGAAATTATGTGATCACTTTAATCACAATAAAAAAATTTTGAAAAAAAATCTCTACGTTGGGTTCGGAGTGCTCTTCTGGCTCTTAGTACCTTTATCTCGGTTCTTTGTAACAATCTCTTTTGACTCTGTGCCAATCTAATGAAGTACTGCTCCTTTCCCTTCACTTCAGGCCAGGAGAACTGAGGTGCAGACTGTGAACTCAGGTAGAGCCAAGTGCCATGCACGTATTAAAGATTCCGAAAACTGTGATGGAGCCGCCCAACAGACCAATGTGAGAAGACACCCAGCCTGTCCTGCAGCTTTCTAGTGGATAATCACACGGAAACCACGGGCCGGACCACAGACAGCGCTGCAGGCAGTAGACCCGTCCCTCCCCATCCAATGAATGTGTCAAGATACCCACTTTTCAGGAAAGGAAGGCGGAGAGGGTCTACCTGCCTCCACGAGGAGGTTAATTCGTAGAAGTAAAGTGCCAGCCTCTTGAATTTAACCAGGACCCACGTCCAAGATCTGCTCCTGACCACACACGATTCGCTAACAGATTAAGGGACAGAGGCCAGGCTGCCCCAAGGAGCTAAACGGAGGAGAGACACGAGGCAGGAGGGTTGACCATCTCCGCGCTGCGGGGCTCTGGGCAGCCGCACTGGCGCAGAAATCGGAGCGCGCAGGGGGCTCCGGAGCAGCGCCCAGCGCCGCAGCCGCTCAGTGCGGGGCGACGCCTGGCCCCACCGCCCTCCGGCCCCAGGAGCCCCGCAGCGCCTGGCACCGGCGTAGCAGGGAGCTGCGGGGACCCGGAACAGACTCCGGGCAGGGTGTGCGTGGCCGCCACCCGCCGGGGCGCGGAGACAGCTCCCAGTCCACCGCGCCCACCGCGCCCGCCGCGCCGCGCCGCGCCGCCTTCCCAGCGCCTCGGGCCGGACTCACCGCAGTCGCCCGCCCGGCCGCGGTCCCGGTCGCACAGCCCACAGCAGGCGCAGAGCGCCAGTCGCCGACTCGCAGGACTGGGGCGGCCCGGGAGGGAGGGCGGGCGTCGGCTCACCCAATCAGGGGGTTAGCATAGCCAACCAGCGCAGCCCGCCACCGGGAAGTGCTGCCGAGACTCCGCCCTGGCCCGGCCCCGCAGCTTCCGAGTGAACCCCCAGGAGAGCCCTGCCCCGGAGCCAGCGGAGCATGCGCGTGGGCGGCCCGGGCCTCCAGGGCCACCACCCACGTGCTGTGCGCCCCCAGCTCTCCCTTGGGGTCGAACCTGGCCCAAACCTCCTGCACCTCCCCTCAACCCCCACACCCGGAGACCCTGCAGGCCAGGTGCCCTTGGCAACTAGCAAAGAGCACAAATCAAAACAAATGACATGTCCCCTTGAAGGGCAGGAGTTCTGATGCAAAGCACCCAGTACGCATTGTGTTTACTAGCGCTAAAGATTTGTGAAGAGGAGAGCATGCATCATTCAACAGGCCCATATTGTTTACTACTTAGTGCATTTAACCAAACTTTCATTCGCCCATATTAAATACTTCACATTGTTGAAACTGGGATATAGTTACCAAAATACTTACTCTTTTGCTTATATCCTAATGGGAAGAGTATACAACTTTATAATGTTACAGAAAGCCATAAAACAGAGAAAGGAATAGAGAATAATAATTGTTTTCTACACATGCACACACATACAAACACACAGATTCGGAAATATACGGATAAATGTGTATATACACATCTATGTATATACACATATGAACATATACATATTCTGATATACATGGTTATATCCATATTAGAAAAACATGACTAATGAGGTGACATCTGAACACAGACAGAAAGTGATTGAGTGCCACATGGATTCTGGGGAAAAGCACTCTGGGATGATAACATCATCAGGTTCAAAGCCCTAGGACTGCTATATCTTCTGTAAGTTCTTGCAAGAGCTGAGGTCAATGCAGCTGTAATAAACGGTGCTTCGTGGAAAGGGGGAGCTTGAAGTACTGCAGGTAGTTGGCTGCATTGGGACTCAAGGCTCAAGATTCTCCCTTTTCTTCTGACCAAGGTAACAAGCCACTGAGAGGTTTTCAGTAAGAGGCAACATAATCTGGTTAACAGAAAGATCAATCTAGTTGCTGAGGTTAGCCATGGAAGGAGGAAAACAGACTACTGCAGTCCAAGCAGGAGTTCCTGGTGGCTTGGGCAAGCCTAGTTGTTAGCAGTCAGTATTGTTGTGGGAAAAGTGGTCATCTCTAGATATATTCTCAAAGATAAGCTAAGAGGATTGGCTGGGGGGGGGGGGGTTGGATAGAGGTAGAAGAAGAAAAACAATGTGAAGGATGACATCATTGCATTCAGGTAAGATGATGGTGCCATGAACTGAAACAGAGGAAGAACAAAGAAGAGCAGCTAGAGAGGGATTCAAGAGTATGTTCCAAGTGTTTTGGTTTTTGGCAACATTGTTAGACGATAGCAGCTATGGATGGCCACTGGAGAAAAAGAAGCCATTGAAGGAATACCAAGCAGAGGTCACACAGGCAATGCAATTGCTGGGAAGCCAAGAAGGGTTTGAGCAGGCACCACAGGGGTTGTTTACAACAATAGGAAGGCTGGGGCATTACTGAGAGAAAATGTTATCATAGGTAGAGCTTAAGCTGCAGACTCTGCCAAAACTACTCTTCAAAAGCATACTCTACCAAAACTACTCTTCAAAAGCAGACTCTACCAAAACTACTCTCCAAATATCCAAAACAGAAGAGTTACAAATGTGTTTGCCTTCCTTACCCTCTGCTTTCCCATCTTTCAATAGCTTCGTCCTGTAGGTCAAATGCAGCCTGAAGCTAGCTGATTGGGAGCCTAAGAGTTCAACTGCAAGAATTGGACATCTTGACCCTCTGAGACACTCAGTAGAGCCAAGTAAAGACAGGGAATGATCTGTAAGCAAATGAATAAATAAGTAAGTATATAAATAAATGCAGAGATAAAAAAAATCCACATGGAAATGTGTAGTAGGAACTAGGATATATAGATCTAGTATTGAAAGATTCAAAGTCAAGTTCTAGACTAAAGATAGCATTTGGGAATAAACAGTTGAGAGACAGAATGTAAACCCATTAAATTATAGCATCTGCCTAAACAGCAAAGGAATTGCATGTAGACTTGGAAAATGCAAAACCTGAGAAGACTGAGAACTGAGAGTACTGCTCCTGACAGCAAGTAAACAAGAAAATGGTAAGAAAGCAGAAATGATCTGCTGAGGTGAGTGTCAATTGTAGCTTCAGTGAAGCAACTCCTGAGAACTCAACATCACATGTAGCAACATTTCTGAGTGTCAGACATTGTGCTTAGTTCTTCCCATGGTGGGTCTCATTTGGTCCTCAGTAGGAGTTTTCTGTCCTCTGTTTACAGGTGAAGGCACTGAGATTGGCCAGGCTGAGAGTGGGGCTGGACCCTAAGGTCTAGGCAAGATGGGCTAAGGAATGGTTCCATGTGTTCATAGGCCAAAGATGCTCTTAAAAAGGCTCCCAATGCAAGTTTGTCTATCACAGTGTCTTACTTTCACAGATGCACCATGCAGATGTCTGTGTGTATTCATGGAGTTGGGGAGCCTTGTAACCCAGAGTAGAACAGGCCAAAGAGGAAAGGAGACCTAGATCCTCCATTGTCTCTCTGAGACCAGTTTCTTATCTGCCCTCAGTCTCTCTTGCCCCAGATCAATCTGCAGGTCATATTGAGCACTGTTGCTCTTTCCTATCCACCTTGTGATGTCTAAGAGCAGTTGAAAACCACACACAATCCAGCTTGGCTGGCTGTGTTTTGCCCACCCCACAATGCCCCTGGCCCTCACATGCATATCAATATTGACGAGTTCAAGGTGCACTCTCTCTATGTGCGCTGCCTGCCTCCCACTCAGTTATTTTTAAATAAATCTTGGTGTCTCTCATTTCCATTGTCAACTCAGATGCAATATTTTATTGGCATGTTGTTGAAACAACCAAGTATAACAAATTAGGGAGACCGGGGAGGATACTGACAGGAGGAAGACAGTTAAAGCCAGAACACTCCAGGCATTGACCCTGGAGGAGACAAGGACAACTTCCCAGTCTTGTTCTGGGATTCCAGGTAGTTCCATCACAATAAGTAGACAGGGGCTGGGACGGCACTTCCTAGCACCAGAAGGTATTGAAATCATTGAAAAGATACAAACTAATTCCAGAGTGTGATTGCCTTTGATTCTCATTAGCAGCCTCTACAGACACCTCCCAAAACCCACCCAGCGGTAATGAATAGGACCCAGTCTCCAATGCGCTCCTACATAAATGTAAGTACCTGGGCACAAAAGTCAACACAGAGGTCATTCCCAGAGGCCCATAGATGGGTTTTACTTGCTAACATACCCAGGCCGGAAATTTGAATTAGTGTCTTACATTAAAAATTAGAAAAATGCATATTAAGAGAAAGCCAGAAGTGGCGCTGTGCCTTGAGTAGTAGAGCGCTTGCCTTGAGCTGAAGAGCACAGGGACAGCATCCACGCCCAGAGTTCAAGCCCCAAGACCAACAACAACAAAAAGAAAAGAATGCATATAAAAGTGCATTGTTCTAGTTTGGTTTGTTTTATCTTAGGGACACTAGGTATTCATCAAGTACGACAAGAATGTGTTGAGCAGCGAATTTGACAAGAGCACCAGTATTCTCCTAAGAACCAACATGCCTTCTCTGCCATTCATTGTTGCTTCACTTCAGGAGGATATCTGCCAACCCTATCCATGCCTACATAAACCTGCTCCCCCTGTCATGTGCCCTTTTAAAAAAGAACTCATGCATATATACTGATTCCAGAGGAGTTAATCAAAAGCAAGTTATTAAGTTAAATGTTATTCAAAATCAGAACTTCTAGCAACTGATGCTTTTCGGCATTAGGAATGCATATACAGTGCATTCCATGCTTCTGGGTCTTTCCTTGCTCAGAATCTGTAAGATGGGCACCGCAAGAGTTCCCACCTGACAGTCCTAATGGGCCTGGACCTCTGATAATGTTTTCCTTATTGGCCTCAGGCCACTGTTAGGCTGTTCTCCTGGCCTCTCCTTTCTTCTTTCGGCAATTGTCGGTCTTTCTTTTCTGGCTTCTATCTGCCAACAGATGAGGCTCCTCTTAGAGGATCCTATGGATGACCAAGTGATCGTGCATGGAGTTTCAACATCCTTTCTCCTCTCTGAACCACAGCTTTGCCAAGTGTGCCTTGACTGTTGTCATCTCTTCATTCTTCAACTATCACCAGTCCATCCCAGCCTTCACAACCTTGCTGCATGGGCCAGCACATTGATCTCACCTGGGACTGAGCAAGAAATTCAGGCCTCGCCTCTGGTCTGCTGAATCAGAATCTTCACATGAGTAAGATTCTCTCCCTGTGCCGCTCATTTGGGGAATGCTCAGGAAGTATTCTTTGTAAGATTCTAATTCAAAGGCACACCAGCCTAATATTCATGGGTTGAACATATTTCCTACATTGTTCTAGTAAATTATTTAAAAACATTGCTAAACCCTTTGCAAACATTTCATTAGAAAGCACAGTGAACTATGATCTAGAATTCTTTCTGATCTCTCAATTACTTTTTGTAAATTGTCAAGCTACTGACTTTGGAGAGCATTGGCACGTGCTCACATGTGGCTGCTGATATCCATAGAACAATGAGCAGGCAAGGCAGCAAGAGCTTCCATCAGAATCTCAAGTCCTTCATTCTTTTCTTCCTGAAACTGACCCTTGCATAGAAAATAGATGCTCACATGGGCAGCAGAACATTTTTGGCCTTGACTTTCCCTTTGCTTTCTCCTAGTCCTCCATCTCCCAACGTTTTCTGTGAACTGTTCTAAGTGAAAATCAGAAACATTTAATCCATGAGTATTTGATAGTGTAGCCAGATCCCCAGCACTGAACACAATGCAAGAATGGTGACCTTATTCCAACTTTAGAAAAAGAGCCCCCAAATCAATAGAAAGCTGTGTAATTGATATTGGACTTTATCCTCTAACTGTTGTATTTTGAG